TTCATGGGTAATTATAAGTAGGGTTACAAGTCCCCCCATATGGGTTATAACTTTAGTGACCTTACTTATAACCCCACTTGTAACTAGCCATGAACCTCCAAGTTCCCCAAAGCCTAAACCCTGTCCGCAGGTTCTGTCTTCGGGGCTTCCAGCGTAAGATAGGGGCCTTGATAGTTAGAATAGGGCTTTGGGGCCCATTATTCATTAGAATAAGGAGCCAAAATAGTATAGGTAATCTTTTAGGTCCCCATATTAAAAGAGTTTCAAAACATGAGGAACCCTGTATTAAAGCCCAAGCAATAGGACCGTTTAGCGACCACTAGGCACAGGACCCTACGTTCACGGGTAGTTATAAATGGGGTTATAAGTAAGGTAACCATCATTATTTATAACCAATATTATGGGACTTATGACCCTACTTACAACTACCCTAAATCCTAAACCCGAAACCCTATAGAACCCTTACAGCCTTAAAGGAACCTTACTTATAACCTATAACCCCACTTAGAGCTACCCATGAGCCATGAACCTCCAAGTACAATGCTTCACGATGACCCCAAGTTGGCCCACATCGGCCTTCTCCCTACGGTTCTCGGCTTCGGGCTCAGTGATTTAGGGTGGCGTCTTCAGGATTCAGGCATCAGGGTCTTGGGTTTAGGGTTTGGGGTTTAGGGTTTAGAGTTTAGGGTTTAGGGTTTAGGGTTTAGGGTTTAGGGTCTACTGGGGTTTAGGGTTTAGGGTGTAAGGCTCGGTGTCTGGCGTTGCCTTGAAGCCTTGATCTTCAAAATCCTGAATCCTCCTTACAGGATCCGGGGATGTCATGTAGGCGGGCTTAATAATTAGAATTGGGTTTTGGGGCCCCCATAGAAAAAAAAACTATAATTAGAATAAGGAACCACCAAAATAGTATAGGTTACTATTAGGCCCCTATATTGGCAAGATTCCCCACAGAGCCAAGTACCTCTTTATACAGGAGCATTGCCATTGTTTCAGTCAGAGAGCCTACTTAACGGTAGGAGTATTCCTTGGCCGAAATTGAAAAAAAGCCCACAGAGGTCTGCGCCCATAAACCCTAAACCCGAAACACGAAACCCGAAACCCCAAACCCCAAACCCCGAAACGCCAAAACCCCAAACCCTCACCCCCAAACCCTAAACCCTAAACCCCAAACCCTAAACCCCAAACCCCTAGACCCCAAAACCTCAACCCCAAACCCTAAAGCCTTAACCCTAAAGCCCTATAGTACCCTTTAAAGGAAGCTTAGGATCCCTATAGTACCCTTTCAAAGAACCCCTAAACCCCAAACCCTCAACCCTAAACCCTAAACTCCGAAGCCGATTTCAGTTTCCGGCAATCCCGAGGTTTTGCCGGGGCACGAGCGGCTCGCACATCGCATCCTCCGTGGGCTTAGTGCATGAGCTTAGGGTTCCGGGGGTTTAGGGTTTAAGGTTTAGGGTTTAGGGTTTAGGGTTGAGGGGCTCAGGTTTAAGGTTTTTTGTTGGGCTTAGGGGTTCGGGGTTAGGGTTTAGGGTTCCGGGCTTAGGTTTCGTTGGGTTTAGGGTGTACGGTTTCAAACATCGAAGCCCATAGCCCTGAGGGTCAAAGCAGCATGTGCTACTCCGGAACATAATAACAAGAATCGATACGACCCAATAATAAGGCGCTATTTCCGAAAGCTTCTCAGACAAGTCAGAAAGGCTCAGGATATGTGAGAGACTCCTTGTCTCCAGGGTAGACCTATGATAAATGAATCCCCTTTCAGACTTTCCTTGCACAGACTAAATGTTACGATCCCTACCATAATCCTTACTGAGCCGTCCTGGAAGAAGTGGGTTTATTAATCGAAGGGTCTGAACCAACGATGCCTGAGACGGGTGTGAGATGGCTCAGACTTTCTGGAGCCACCTAGGTGTTACAGTCTCGATATTGGACTTATATAGCATGTCATGTCATAGCCCCAAAACAAAGAGCACTTGCGGTTCCCTAGCTAGTGTTTGGGTTTTGTGAGTGTGGGGCATAACGGCGCAATCAGGGCCCAATTAAGGTATCTCTCACTGTTCTCTCTCTCTCTCTCGACCTGAGGCCTGACCCCCAAAACTCCGCAGCCCAAAGCAAACCGACACCCCTTTCTTCACAAGCCCCAAGGGCCAAATCAACCCCATACAGCCCTGAACCCTAAACCCTAAACCCTAAACCCTAAACCCTAAACCTTAACCCTACAGCCCTGAACCTTAACCCTACAGCCCTGAACCTGGCCCCCAAAATAACCCTAAGCCCTGAACCCTAAACCCAAAAAGCCCGGCCTGGATGATGCATCCGCCGAAACTGGGGCTTGGTAGGTTTCCCACGCTGCCCTGGGCGTCTTCGCGTGAAAGGCTGCGGGGTTTAGGGTTTAGGGTTCAGGGTTTCGAGTTTAGGGGTGTCGGGGTTTAGGGTTTAGGGCTTAGGGTTTCGGGTTTCGGGTTTAGGGTTTAGGGTTTAGGTTTTAGGTTTGGGTGTTTACTTGGACATGCAAGGTGTGATATGAGGCTGTAGTACGTAGACTACGGGCCTCTCGCTTATCTTCTGGCACAACTATACCTAAACCCTAGACCCTAAACCCTAAACCCTAAATTCATTACCTATGGCCTTGAGGTCTTCAGAGCTTATACCTTATACTAGGAGTCCATGATATTATAACCGTAGATAACTGTTGAAGTTACCATAAAATGTGTATAACATTCCATGAAACGCTTCTGGGTAGTTGTCTAAATTAGGGTCCCTTTTAGGGCCCTTTTTTTTATATAAGGGTGCCGTATTATATTGGGGACCTAAAAGGGGACCCTCATTTAAAGAACTATCCTTATATGGGGACCCCGAGACGACCCGAAGGGGATATCTGTGTGAAGTCGGCTTTCCCCCAAGGTCACACCCGGAGTCTCGTGAGGTCAACTCACCCGCCTAAAGTCGACCCACTAAACTCTCGAAACCCCTAAACCCCTAAAGCCTAAACTCCTCTGAACTCCTAAACCCTAAACCCTAAAACCCTAAACCCCTAAACCCTAAACCCCTAAACCCCTAAACGGCCCTAAACCCTAAACTCTCAACTGCAAGTACACGCTTGGTTTCAAAGAGCCTCAACGTCACCCTCGAAGATCTTATTGGGAAGCCCCATGTGCTTGCCGGTGGGAGACGACTTCCAGTCTATAATTGGTTTAGGGTTTTAGGGTTTTTAGGGTTTGGGGTTTTGGGGTTTTGGGGTTTTAGGGTTTTAGGGTTTTAGGGTTTTAGGGTTTAGGGGTTTAGGGTTTGGGGTTTGACTTGGGAGTTATGAGCTTAGGATCAGTTATTACCCGACTACATGCAGGCCCAGGACGACCTTTGAGAATGATTGTGCCAGATGTTGGTGGTGTGGCGATGGGTTGAGCTTTACTGCACCAGGCCCGGTATCTGAGTTTCTTTCAAGGCTTCTGGGTTGAGGGTTCAAGGCTCTGCAGTACGGCTTTCTTGGTGCGCGGGATGGCGTTACGGATCTTGGGTTTGTCTCTGTGTAGTTCTAGAGACTGACACGAATGCAGCATAAGTTAACAGCAGCGACAGCAGCAACAAGAAAACAAGAAACATCGTAGAAATGACAAGAACAGCAGTATTGTTCAATTTGGAAGCGACGAAACGACAATCAACAGCGACGACAACGACAAGGCGACGACGACCAAGCGCCACCACCAACCGCCGCCATCCACCACCCACCACCACCACCAACAACAATAACCACCACCACCACCACCACGACAACAACAACGACGACGACGGCAACAGCAACTGCAACGATCACAACAATAGGATTGAGCAGAAGAACAAGGGACGAGATGATGGCCAATAAGTACTCGGATGTTTGCGAAAGTATGTCACTGTGAGACGAGCCAGAACATTCACAAGACTCAAGACGCCGGACCACAACGAAACTAAAGCAACTCCCGCCATTGGCCTCTTGTGCTACAGAGCGGCCAGTGTAGCCACTGTCTCTGGCACTTCGTGCTGAATGAGCTGCTCTGCAATGGCCTTCTCCTTTTCTGACGGAACAAGCCTTGGGATGGTTCAGGGAAGTCTATTTTTCAAGTTCGTGGTCCAAAAAGTATCAGCACAGGCGGAAACATCGAACCACAGAATTGCAAAATGCGAACAAGTGAAATGAAGCACTATTGTCCCTTCCGTGCTGTCGCGGCAAAGGCACTTCACCATACTGGTCGTGGGCCCTGCAGGTGCGCCTGTGGTGCTCTGCACCGCTGCTGCTTGCGCTCCGGGTGTAGCTGCTGAGGAACTGATACCTGTCATGGTAGCTGTTGCTCCATTCAATGCATCGCCAGATGCTGACGAAGCTCCTCCTCCTCCTCCTGCTGCACCGGCTGTAGCTGCTGAGGAACTGATACCTGTCATGGTAGCTGCTGCTCCAGTCAATGCATCGCCAGATGCTGACGAAGCTCCTCCTCCTGCTGCACCGGCTGTAGCTGCTGAGGAACTGATACCTGTCATGGTAGCTGCAGCTCCAGTCAATGCATCGCCAGATGCTGACGAAGCTCCTCCTCCTCCTCCTGCTGCACCGGCTGTAGCTGCTGAGGGACTGACGCCTGTCATGGTAGCTGCTGCTCCAGTCAATGCATCGCCAGATGCCGACGAAGTTCCTTGTGCAGTTCCTCCTCCTGCTGCACCGGGTGTAGCTGCTGAGGAACTGACGCCTGTCATGGTAGCTGCTGTTCCAGTCGATGCATCGCCAGATGCTGACGAAGTTCCTTGTTCGGTTCCTCCTCCTGCTGCACCGGGTGTAGCTGCTGAGGCACTGATACCTGACATGCTAGCTGCTGCTCCAGTCACTGCATTTGCCGCGGACACCACAGTCGGTGTACCAGCAGGTACCACAACCAGCTTGTATCTGAAGGTGTCATGGTTGAACTGACCGCCAGCAAACATTGTCTTCGCAACCTGAGCGGAAGCTACCCGCCTATTAGCGCAGATACTGTCTCTACCAAGGGCGCATTGATTCTTACATCTACTGGTGAACATCCGTTCTTCCCGTACCCTTAACCCAAAACCCCAAACCTACTCAAGGCCGGATCCAAAGCGGTAACATAGGGTCCTGAATTTTCAGAAAAGTGCTTTGAGGCATCTGTGGTATAGTCTGAATAAGGAGCACAAACAAGTTGTAGGGACAACTTATGATGGATTCTATGTTACCGGGATTTGGGATGTGGAGCATCCCAAAGAAGCCCTAAACCCTAAAACCCAAAACCTCAAACGCCTTAAACCTAAACGAAAGCAGCAAGGGGCCTTGTCTAGGCGTCAATGAGGGTTCTACTCTGAAAGGCTGCCTCATGTAGGAGCCTGACTTCGTTACATGTTTAGGATTTTCGGTCGGTTTTTTTGTTTAAGGGCCCTTTTCCAACTGCGAGTACAGTATAGAAGTCCTTAGCAGGAGGAGCCTGTTGTTGGGGCCTCATGTAGACTCTGGAATAAGAAGGATTTAGGGTTTAGGGTCTAGGGTTTAGGGTGTATCTATAGTAATGTAGGAACCTGATTCAGAACCCTGGGATCTTTATTAGGATTTCGTTATGTGTTAGGGGTTCAGGGTTTAGGGTGTATTTAGAATAAGATAGGAACCTGATTAAGAAACCTTGGATTTTTATTAAGGCTCTTTATATGAACCCTAGCATTTTGGGGTTTGAAGGCCGGGGTTTCTTGACCAGGTTCCTACATTATTCTGAACTCCCTAAACCCTAAACCCTCAACCCTAAACCCTCAACCCTTGCTTAGGGTTTAGGGTTAGCTCTAGAGCCCCGGTGTCCCCAATGAAGGGGCCACAATGACTAGAAAGGGGTTCCGAATTATACGTACTACGGTCGAGCTTTATATTAAGAAATCTTTTTAAACAAGAAATGAGACTCTGGTTGCCGCAACAATA